CCAGCAACCATTTCCCAAAGGATCTATTGACTATAGAAAGTTGGAGGCTTAGAAGTATTGAATCTTTTCTAAAGGAAACACCTTAATTAAAAATAAAATAGTGTCACTTCCTTCTTCAGCAAATTTCATTTTTAAATTGTACTATCTGAATTTTACATGTAGTTCTCGTTTGATTTGGAATTAGATCTCTGCACTGGTACTTACTGACCATGTGAGTTCACATATTTAACCTCTCTGAACCTCAGTCTCATCATATGTGAAATGGGTACAATCCTATAGGATTGAGAGTTAAATGAGATAACAAGTAAAGTGATTAACTCAGTGCCTAAAACGTAGCACTTGCCATTAATAACTGCTATGGTGGTCTGCATAAAGCTATAATGTACCAATTTGTACTAGATTTAAATTAAATTTCAAAAATTAAAATTTCTTCATTAGTTTATTAGTAGAATGTTTTTTGAGAGGGAGTCATCAATGAATTTTGCTCATCTCCAGTGGAAATTAAAAAGTATGTACTTGATTTTAGATGACGGTCTTTTTTTTCTTTTTCCAGAATTTTTCTACTTTCATTTTTATGAGTTTCTTTTTGTTTTGTGTTTACACCTGAGTTGTTTTTTGTTTGTTTGTTTGTTTTCGCGGTACGCAGGCCTCTCACTGTTGTGGCCTCTCCCGTTGCGGAGCACAGGCTCCGGACACACAGGCTCAGCGGCCATGGCTCACGGGCCCAGCCGCTCCGCGGCATGTGGGATCTTCCCGGACCCGGGCACGAACCCATATCCCCTGCATCGGCAGGCGGACTCTCAACCACTGCACCACCAGGTAAGACCCCTGAGTATTCTTTTTAAGAAACATATTTAAAGTGCATTAACTATTTTATGTACCTGAAATTTCAGATCACAACCCAGCAAAAATGTACAGAGAAAGTTCATTCATTGTGACTTCCACATCAATTGTATTATCTGACCAAAGTTTTTGGTATAGTCAGCAGACCTGCAAGCATAGCAGTTTATTATATTTAGCCCTATTCTTAAATGACTTTATAGTAGAATGACTGATCGTGGCTCCCAAGTTTACATCTTTGTAAACTGAAGAAGAATCTGAAAAAGAATATATTATATAAAACTGAATCACTTTGTTGTATACCTGAAAGTAACACAACACTGTAAATCAACTATACTTCAATTTAAAAAACTGCAGCTGTGTTTATTGGCCTGATCTTGATTAAATCCTGTTAAGTCAGATGGGAAAAAAGAAAATTGAGACTGGAACTGTATTCAGAGTTCTTGGTTCGAGCGGCTGTTTTCCTTGTGGCCCCTTCCCTCCCTTCTCTCCCCTTTGCTCCCGTCTTATTTGCCACTGTTGGATTCATTTCTTTGTCTTAAGTCTTTCTTTCTCCTGTTAAAATGTAGATACATCAGGAAATAGATAACTGCTATTTATCCTTATCAGTTAGTGACATCTTAGTTTGTATGCGTTTATCAGATGTTTCCCTAAGAGTGGGTTATTAAAGAAAACTTATAGAAAATTTCAAACATATACAAAAGTAGAGCAAACCATATAATGAGGCCCAGTATTCATCACTCATCTTTGGCACTTGTCAAGTCCAATTTCGTGTCCCCTCTACCACCCTCTTATTTGAAAGCAAATCTCAGGCATTTCAAGGTGTAGCTCACATTTCAACATGGATCTCCTAAGTAAAGGACTCATTTTTTAAAAAGTCACAATACTATTATCACCCCCCCCAAATTAACATAATATCTTGATATCATCAAATATGCTATCATTGTTCATTTCTCTAATTACCTTTTTTTTTTTTTTACATTTGAGTCATGATCCAAATAAGATCCCCTAAGGGTAGATTTTAGTGGAAAAGGGAGAAGAGGTGAGAAACAGATGGCTTGAGGAACCAGAGAAAATTAGACAAGTGCAGAGAGAAGGAGGCTTGAGATGGTGTTTTTCTAACGACTTTCCCATGGATTAATAATACTGGATTTATGAAGGATGTACTCCAAATGGGCTCCTAAAGATCTTCCAGGATGCTGGAGAAATTGCCATTTGACCTGCTCCAGGTTTCACTGGTTATCATAAGAAATGGACTTCAGTCCATAGTCGTGTATAACAATTCAATTTCAATGCTAACTTCCTTTACATAAGGCTGCGAATTAGAACCCCAAATTAGATTAAGCCTATAAGGCAGTGGGGGTAATCATTCTAGATATGTAGAGGGAACCCTTATTCTAAATAAATGTGTAGAAGGCTAGTTGAGTCATTGTGTTGGGCTCCAGCCAGCCAGGTTTAATGAGCAGTGGAAGGTTGAGTGCCATCTCAAAACCAGTTCTCAGAGGAGAAGGGAGGCAGACAGGGCCCCCCTCTGGGATGGATCAGAGGAGCTGAGTGTGATGCTCAATGAGAAGAATGTCTGATGTATCTCATGGACCACTTTAGAGAGACAGGAACTTTTAGGAAGTACTTGGGGCTTTTGACCAGATAAAAACACTTTGAGAGAGTGTTTTTTCCACATTCCCCCCTCCAAAAAATGTGTTCATAGGCAGTAAATTGGTCCTTTACACCATAAAGGCAGAAAGTACTTTTAGCTAGAAAGCTGTCCAAAAACAAAAACAAAAAGAGAACAGAACAAAAAACAAAAGCAAAACCTCTCCTTGAAGAAGTTAACCTGGAAATGAAATTCCCCCTTTTAAGCTTTCCCCAGTAAGAACACAGGTTCTGAGAATGGCTGACTACCCAAAGTCACACAGCTAATTAAGGTCAGAACTGAGGCAGGAGCCACCTACTGGCCTATGACAGGGCAGGGGCAGGTCTGAAGGAGGTGAAGAAACCCTTTGCAAGATAAAAAGTTGATCTAGAAAACATTGTCACAGCTTTTGGGTAAACTTTCTTTTTTTTCCCTTGTGGAATGCATCAGTTTCTCTTTGTGCCTTCCATTTCCCATGCCTGCTCTCACCATGTTCAATTTATGCCCTATTTGTCATCACCTGGTGACTCAAACCTTCTGGGGTGGAGGTGGTGGCAGGTGGGAGATAGGAGCCTTTTGCACAGTGACCCCTGCTAAGTTTCCTTGAAAGCCAGTAAAAATACTCATTAGTTTTAATCTACTAATTATAAGCAAATGGACATTTTAACCTTAGGAAATTCAGCATTTTTGTTTGCATTTATGATCATTGTCTATTTTCCATTTATTCCCATCTATTTGCAGCAAGTGCATTTGGGGGCCAACTTGGTTTATGCTGTTCCCCAGGAAACAAAAAGAAAATCCACAACCAACCAAACTGCTTGTATAGCCATTCCCATGGAGCCCAGTGCTTCCTAGGCATGAAATTGACTGACACACAAAGGCAGCAGGTGCGGGGCCACATGCCACTTGCCGCTTTTTTTTTTAGTGTGTGTTTATAATCAGTAAATGGCTGTGGATGTTTAAATGGTTCCCTAATACGATGGAGAGCGGATGCCATTATAACTTGAACTTGTATTGCCACGCAGATGGTGGAAATAAACATCCAATTCTGCACACAGTTTTGTTTGCCTCTTACTTTGAAAAGATCGGCTGAGCATCAGGCATCCTTGGTGCCAGCAGGGACTCTTGGGCGGGTCGGGGTATAGGCGAGCAGGGCTGCCGTCGGGTTCCAGATTGGCTTTTGTGTTGAGAGCCCCGAGGACAGCAGGTTTCCTGTAAGTGGCTGAGGGGGTTCATTGCAGCAGTGGACCCCACCCCTGAACTACCAGGCGGCAGCTCCAAATATCCCTTCCTACTCGAGACGTGCCTCACACCTTTAATCTTCTCTATTAGACAGAACTGTTCTCTACCTCAGGAACTCTCGCTGTACCTTCCTCTCCACCTTTCACTTTCTTAGACACTTTGGAAAATGGAGTTGGTTCAGTACTGTGGTGATGGTACCAGCTTTAATTTCACCCTCCTAGCTTCCCCTGCTGGTCCCTCAAATTGCCTCCTTCCTGGGGGTCATCGATCTACGTACTATATTTTCCTCCCTCGGCACGTTGGAGGACCTTAGTAAATATCTGTTGGTCCAGTGATCAACTGACTTGTTCACACTACTGAAAAAAACAGTAGGGTTTAACGGCAGCCTATTCCAGAAATATTTAAACAAGTGTTTTAAAGAGTTTGGAATAAAGATAGAAATGAATCTCTGTGATCTTTTGCAAATCAGTGAACAGAAAGAACAGGGCGGATATGGGGATAGGGAAGTCTTCCTAGCACCTTGAGATTCCCCGGGGAGGAAGCCCACTCCTTGGGAAGTGGGTCAAACTTGGGAAGGCTAGGTAAGCCACTTCTCTGGGGCAGAGACACTGGCCAAATAGGAATACGGATGCTTGAGGGACGATTCCTCTCTGCAGGGCCAAAGAAACTGCTAGATGAGCGAGGGGCACAGGGTTTACACCAAAGGCCATTTCTAGCAGGTTTGGTCTGTTTCATTAACGAACCATGCAAAAGCAAAGCAGAACTCCCCCTCCCCCAAACTGGCTTATTTTCCTCATGCCAACCTCCTTTCTTCCCATCAAATAATTTAGTAATCCTTCGCATTTCTATAGAGTGCTTTCCGGATTACAAAATGCTTTCACGTACACTATTTTGTTTTCATCTGCTGTCAGTCTCTGGAGCTGGGCAGGGCGTAATGATGATGTGTGTTTTGCATTTAAGCCCCAGAGAGGTTTGGTGATTGAGATGGCTTGTCTGGCCTCATTCCAAGGGGTAGGAGGGTCTAGAAACCCTGGCACTCAGGGCTCTGATGCTGGCCTTGGAGCTTTCTTGGAAACTTTGGAACAAGGATTAAGATCCTGTGCTTTGAAGAGGGATAGGCAAACTTGTCCTGTAAAGAGCCAGGTAGTAAATATTTTAGGCTTCGTGAGCCACACGGCCTCTGTTGCAACTACTCAAAATCTGCGGCAGACAATATGTAAATGAATGGGCATGGCTGTGTTCCATTAACACTTTATTTATGGACACTGAAATTTGAATTTCATATAATTTTAAGAGTTGTGAAATATTCGCCTTTTGATTTTTTTTCCAATCATTAAAAGTGTGAAAACTATTCTTAGCTCATGGGCCACACAAAAATAGGAGGCTGGTTCGGTTTTGCTCATGGGCCACGGTGGGCTGACCCTCTTTTAGAGCTGGTTCTGCCATTTATTAAGCATGTAATTTCGGGCAGATTACCTAGGTAAGCCTCAGAGCTCTCAATGACAAGATTGGAAAAGTCATAATGATTTCCACCTGCAGGGACTAGAGGATGAAATGCAATAATTGTAAAGTGTTTAGCAAATCACTTATACAGTTAGCCCTCAGTGGATGGGAGGTGTCATAATTTGATGATGCTACATTCTAGGGAACCATTTGTCCTCCCAAAATATACTGATAGGGGATTCTACTCTCTTTCAAACAACCTCAGCCTTTTCCACACCTGGTGCTAATGAAAATTTGTGTATTAAAGGGAAATCCAGATATGTCCACAGGACAGAAATACTTTTTTTTTTTTAAGCCAAAGATAAACCTTTAAAAAATAATAACTCGTGGTGACAAGAAAGGCCCAAATGAAATGAAAACAGGCTGCATGTTTGGCCTGCTGACAAAATCAGGATAAGGAGCTTCTGCTTTCTGGCCTTAGTTTCTTCATCTGTAAAATAGGGATAATAACCATGGTCTCTACCTCATAGGATGGAGGAGAAGATGAAACAGGATAATAGGTGTCAAGGGCATAGCGCGGTGCTTAGCCCGGGGTCAGCACTCCTCCAGGGCAGGTGGACTTCATGTTCTGTGTCTCACTGGCGCTCCCCTCCAAGCTCAAGTTCTGAAGAGACCGATGTTGATGCTGATGGTGGTGGTGAGGTGGGGAGGGAATTGCCTATTAGCTGAATATGTACCTTTTATTCCTGAGCATTAAAGAAACTGAGATCTTTGGCAACCCTTTGCTCCAGGCACCTAGAGGATTCAGCCCCAGGACTAGGGTCATGGTTCTGCGGGGCCCCGGCATCACCACGGGAGGCTGGGAGGGCAGCAGGAAGAAGACGCCTGTGAGCACAGAAAGCAGCTGAGGAGCTGAATCCAGGAAAAAATGCCGAGTCTGTCCGCTCAGCATGTGCCAACCTGGCCTAGATTTGCCCAGATCTGGCTCTCTGCTCTCCCTCTTCAGAAGCAGAAGCTTGTGACTTGGCACCTGCTTCTGGAAGCCTCCATAGACAGACCTTCTCAGATGATGCTACACCCTTGAGGCAGGAAGGATAGGTCTGGAGGCGAGAGCAGGGCTCTCGAGACCCAAGAGGCCGAGTAGGGTGTCTGTCCTCTTGGGCCTGAGGTTCCCTGCTCGTCAGTGGGAATCTCGGCCCGCACCCAGAGGACTCCTGACATTTGCACTGACCATGCTGCAAGGTGACCTTCTGCATCCTGCAGTGGTGGATGGTGAGGACCATTGGTAACCAAGCAGATGAAATCCTGGGAGGTACAAATGAGGAAGGTCAGCCCTGTCCTTGGCTGTCCCTTCAGACAGCTTCATTGCCGGCCAGTCATGCCTTCTAGCCCAGGGGCTGCACTGGCAGTGATTTGGGGCCTGCATAGGGGAAGGCGGGTGGTGCTGCAGACTGAAGAGGAGCTGCTTTTGCCTGGCCCATCCATCTCTCCAGAGCCAGCCTCCCACCTTCCCACTCCCACTCAGTCAGTCTTATATAGGCAGCGCTGGCAAAAATTACAGGTCAACTGGCGTTTCAGTTCAGTGGGACTCCCCATGGCACAGTCAGAAAGGGCAGAGGCCCTTTCTGGACTCTTTATCTGCCTGAGATTTACTGAGCCCTGCTAGTTTCTTCTCAGTATTCCCACCTCTCCTCTAGAACCCTGACTTTAACTGGGAATAACAGCACCTTTCCGATGGATTAAATTTCCCAGCTTGCCTTGGAGTTCAGTGTAGCCACCTAGTAAGGTCAGGCCAATGAAATGTAAGCTGAGTTATTGTGTGGGACTGCTGGAAAGTTTCCTTAAGGAAGGAGTAATACACATGTCTGTGCTTTCTTGTTCTGAATGCAGAATTCAGATGTGATAGCTGGAGCTCAAGCAACCGTCTTTGACCATGAAGTAGACACACCAAGCCTAGTGGAGTAGCTAAGTAGAAGGAGTTTGAGCCTCTGATGATGACAGTGCCACAAAACTTTCCCTACGTTGCACACCTGCAGACATTTTTCATGAGAGGTAGATAAACTACCTTTTAAAACTCTTACTATCATGAGTGCCTTTGTTACATGCAGCTAAACTGATACAAGACCCTGCTGTGTGCCAGATACTCTTTCAGGTGATGGTGACACAGCAGTGAGGATGGTACATGTGGTAACCTGCCCTGTATACTCCCGTTCTAGTGGAGAGAGAACCACAAATGATGAAACACAATAATTCCAGGAAATAATCAGTGCTATGAAGTACAGAAAACAAGGTAATGTTGAGTGAAACATGATTCTAAGCCTGTCACATGTATTAGCCAAATTAATTTTCATGCCAATTCTGTGAGGTAGAGGCTATTAATATTCCCATTGTACAGTGGCCTGTGTAAGGACACACAGCCAGTGAGTGGACGAAGCAGCATGTGAATCCCAGCACTTAGCCTCCAGAGCCGACACCATTTAACAGTGGGCCCTGCTGCCTGCTGAGGGGCTAAAGAGAGAAAGCCACTCAGCTGGCATTGGGCCCTCTTATTCCCGTCCAATGGTCTTTATATCAATACTGTTTTCAGCATGGTGGTCCTGGGGCGTGAGACTTCTTAAGAACCAGCATCCTTAGAGTACCATCTGGAAGCTGCATGACCTTTCTGACCTGAGTCACGCTGTCTCTCTTCCATTGCATATTATTGGTTACAGGTGAGTCACAAATACTGGCCCAAATTTAGACCTCTACCTTTCTATATAGGAGTGTCATAGAATCTGTGGACATGTTTAAAATCACCACACATATCAGTAAGGCATGCACTCAGTAATGGCCACTCTGGGTGGGGAAGCCCCTGGGAAGAAAGGAGAGCACAGATGTGATGACTGGAACTCAAGCAGCCATCTTGGGCCATGAAGACTCCACAGAGAGACACCAGGAGCCAAGAGCACATCACAGACAATTGGGACTGTGTGCAGTCAGTCTTTCCAGACCTAACCTAACATGGCTAGGTTCTGGAATCTGGGATGCTGAGGAGGCCTCTGTGCTGCCCCAGGCATCAGTTCCAGTGATCAGTGCTGGCTGAATTCCCCTCATTCTCCTGAGGGCCCTGTGAACTGCCAACCATTGCACCACCTGACTTGGGAATAACAGGGGCTATGTCCAATTTAGATGTGCCCAGGCGCAGGGGAGTGTCTGTACCAGGGCAGGGCCAGATAAGCAAGACCATTTATAGATGAGCTGGTGGGAGCATCAATGGACTGTTTTGAATCATTGACATCTTGGAAGTGGTGGTTTTGAAATCAAACTGTCTTTGCAGGAATCAGCCTCAAATCCAGGACAACCTTCCAAGATAAGTCCCTGGAGAGTCCCCAAAGCTGTGGAATTGCCTGAGGTTTGGGGAATATGGACCAGGGCAGGAGAAGCTTGAGATCCTGCTCCAAAACTCTTCCAAGTCCTCCCACCCCATCACCTCCACCCCCTCATATCACCTCGGAGACAGTGAGCCACTGGCCCCAAGAAGTGTCACTAGATGGTTCACGGAATAGCAAACATAGGAATGAATATATATTATCATATATTATATCATATATTACACATTATATATATGTATTATATATATTATCATATATTATAAAAATATATTATCATATATTATATCATATATTACACATTATATATATGTATTATATATATTATCATATATTATAAAAATATATTATCATATGTTATCTGGCTTAATCTTCACTGCAACCCTGCAAGAGACCATCATTATCCCCCTTCTACAGAGGGGGTTACTGATATTCAGAAAGAAGTAAGTCACATGCCTAAGGTCACAAAGCAAGCAGCAAGGACAGGACGGAAAGTCAAACCTGCCTGGTTTTGAGTCTTATTTTTCTTCCTCTGCCTTATTCTAACCCTCACACGTTGATGAGACAGAGGGAAAATCAGGCTTGGACGAGCTTGAGATCCTTAAGTGACAGTGGATATAGCTCTGCAGCTGCCTTGAGTTATTCAAGAGTAAGCTTGGCCTGGTCAAGGACACGTCCTACAGGAGGGGAGAATTCTCCTTGCTCAGCAGGTCCCAGGTGTTGCCCTGGAGGCCCCACGGATCTGGTTCCACCCAGACACTGCCCAGACCATCTGCAGCTTGGGACAGCAGGGCTCTGGGCAGCTGGGGAGATGCCTGTAGAACTATTCCCAGAAAAGGAGAACAAAGGAAAATGTGGCTTATTAGTGGGGAAAAGGTGGAAAGGAGTCTGGAACTAAAGGAAGGATTTGAGTTTCAACGAGAAGACTTCTCTCCCTGCCTCTCATTCTCCAACTGGCTTTGACTGAGAACAAAGCAACATCTTTTCATATGTTGAACAAATGGTTTGTCCCCAACAGTTCTTGGGAACCCGCACCCCAAACTCACCCTGGCTCTGACCTTAGAACACAACGGCTGGGGAAAGGCTCTCTGTCTGAATACTTCCCTTCCTAGAAATGAGACTGGTGAGCAGAGATTTGCGTCTCAGCTTGGCTTTGCTCCGTCACAGAGCCACACTCCGTTAACATTACCCTCAACCCCAAAACCTTAGAAAACCTAAAGCTGAAAAAAATCTGACTTGAACTATGTGGGGCTCTTCTTAATCTTCCTTTATCCCACTTTGTGTGACTAGTCATCTATTTTTGCTGCAGAAATGTCAGTGTGTTTTTGTACAGGATGCTGCCCCAATACGACTATGCCCCATCGTACCTTTCTTAAGACCCCCCAGAATCCCAAATATGGAAAACCTCTGGTTGCAGGAGTTTCAGGTAAGAAACTGTGGAGCCGCCTGAGAAAAATGAGAACACCCTTCTCATCCTTCTCTCCTATCTCTGTCCTCCTCCCTCCTCTCTCCCCACTTAAAAAAATCCTGCTTTTAAGGGTACTCTGTTTCTTCTTTTCCTTGCCTTCCTACCTTTGTGTCTTCTTAGCTCTTTGGCTCTCTGTGCACACAGGTGCCCATCCATCCACCTGACAGAAATGCATTGTGGGCCAAGCCCTCAGTTGATGGTACAGATACAATGGTACAGATACCACATGAGCGGGGTCCTGCTTCAGTCCGGAAGTGAGGACAGGGGAAGGATAAGGAACAACTCACCCGGACTGGGGTGGGGGCAGGATGGAGCCTGGTAAACCACTTTATTCCCTCCCAGCTTCACAATCCTTCCACCCAAAAGCACCACAAGGAAAGGTACTTATAGCACAATAGTCTCTCAACCCCATCCCCTGGCCATCCTCTCTTCTGTAGACCACCGTCAGGGGATCCGTGAAGGCTTCTTGAGAGAGGGACACCTAAGTGGGGAGTCGGAGACTTTCATTAGCTGGGATGGCCACGTTTCCTCTCTATTATTTGATATCCAGTGTATTCACTGCCTAGGGCTACTGTAACAAAGTACCACACACTGGGTGGCTTAAACAACAGAAATTTATTGTCTTGCAATTCTGGAAGCTGGAAGTCCCAGATCAAAGTGTCAGCTGGGTTGGTTCCTTCTGAGGGCTTTGAGGAAGACTGTTCCATGCCCCTCCTCCAGCCTCAGGTGGTCTGCTGGCAGCGTTTTGCATCCCTTGGCTTCTGTCGCATCACCCCGATCGCTGCATTCATCATCATGCCTCCTTACAGCATTCTTCCTGTGTGTCTGTGTCCAAATTGTCTCTTCGTATAAGCACGCCAGTCACAATCTATTAGGGCCCACACTACTCCAGTGTGACTTCATCTTAACTAGTTACATCTGAAATGACCCTGTTTCCAGATAAAGTCACATTCTGAGATACTGGAGGTTAGGACTTCAACATATGAACTGATACAATTCAACCCATAACACCAAGTCTTTCCTTGTGGATGACGCTTCCAGGGAAGAGATTTCCGTCTCTACCATCGTCTTAGTCTGGGCTTATGACTCCTGAAAAGACTGATGGGGAATGAATCAGGAGGCAGGAAAGGAGCCTGACTGGCTTTCCTGGTGAAGGATGGGGAAGGGCAGCAGCCTTGTTTGTGATGAGCTGAGATGGGCAAAGCAGGGATGGGGCTTTGGCCAGGAGGACCTCAAAAGAGGCAGGGAAACTAGGGGGCTGGTGGGAGGAAGGCTAAGTTTCCATAAAGTCAGGACCAAACAGTGGTGCTAGAGTGACCTAAATGGGCTTTAAAAACAACTACTCATCTGATGCAAAAAATATTAATAGAAAACTGAAAATAATCTCCCATATTCCATAATGTTACAAAGGGTCTTTAAAGTTAAGTTCAGAAAAAGTGACAAAGAATGGACAGATCAGTGTAGCACTGTGGTTCAGGACATGGGTTTGAATGCCAGCTCTGCCACTTAGCTGTGTGACCTTGGAGAAATTACTCACCCTTTCTGGGCTTCTGTTTTCTCATCCGCACAAGGTGGTTAATAGCTACTTCATTGAGTTGTTCCAAGAATCACTGTGAGTCTGTGAGTAAAGCCCTTGGAACAATGTTGAACACACAGTATGTTCTTCAGTAAATGTAGCTGTTATTATATAGAATGTTAGTATATGTGGGAGCCCTGAACAGACCATGACCACACTTAGTTTACTTCTAGCTTCTTCGGAAAGGCTCACCTTTAAACAACTGTTCAGGAAAGGAGTGAAAGGATCCTTACAAGCAGGAGGACAGAGAGAGTATATTGAGCTACTTTAAATTAGTGCCATTCCCAAGGCTCAATTAAATTGCACCCCATGACACTAAACAACTTGCTGACATGGCCATAAAACTGATAGGGGAGAGAGCCAGGGATGAGGAGAGTTTTTCTAGTTCTTTTTTAAGGAAAAAAGGGTGAATTGTAGCAACTCCAGACTAGTGTGACAACCATCACTTATAAAATTATTAGACAGTTTGAGCATGCTTATAGAAGAAAAGAGTGATCACTGAGTACTATTATGGGTTCCCTATGCTAAACCACTTCAGATCTTTTAAGGATGGATTAATATGGATTTGGGAAATGCTAAATCCCTGGTGGACCTTGATCTTGTGCAATATTTATCAGAGGCATCCACAATAACTTTTTGGACAAGAAGGTGAAATGTGTTCTGGCTATATAGCCCAAACAGGTTGATTCATCTGTGGTTAAAGCCAAAGAATGCTGATTAATAACCAGTTTGAGAGGAAAGTCTTAAAAGCTGAGTCCTGGGCCCAAACATCCTTCTGTTGTCTTTTAGAAATAGATACCATTCTCCCCAGCACTATTCCTATTATTCTGATTTTTTCCCTCTGAATATAGTTTTAAGGTTTTTTGTTTGTTTGTAGAAGCACATTATGAGACTAACAACAAACTTGGGATAGTTTTGTATTTGCATTTTTTTCTTAAATTCTACCCCCATAATGAAATGTTTCATCCAGATTCAAAAGTTCGATAATCATTTCATGTAATACCAAAGTCCCTGCAGTGTCTTGCTGTTGAAGAAGGAATGAATCTAGTTGGTCAGTTAGCATTCTTTTCTGCTTTTGTTCCTTCAAAATAATTTTTTTTTTTTTGCTTAATACCAACTATGTGCTAGGCACTGTGCTAGAAATGAGAGAATCACAGGATCATAAAATCAGAAGGAAACTGGAGATTTTTTAGAGCAAGTGCAAAAGGCATTTTCCTCATAATATAGGAGTTGCAGAAGCATTTTAATGCAAGCCCGTGCTATACAGCCATCCTCAAAAGGTTTGCAAGCTTCCTTACCCTTTGTGCTGGGGTTTTACTTTTGAAATAAAAGCTGATCTCATGGGAGAGGCCATAAAGGCAAAATTGCAGTCCAGGCATCTTTTTTTTTTTTTTTTTAAAGCAAGAAGAATGTTCAGAAAGGAAGTCCTAAATGATTACATTTGGCCAACCCTGGAAAAGAAGCAAACAAGCCCCTACCTCCCCCTTGCCCGCCCCGCCCAACAACTCAAAAACCAAACAGCCCCTAGACATGGAGCACAGGCTTGTGCCCTGCCTTAGCCAGTCCCTTTCCTGGCCCTCATTGTGGTGTGTGTGTGTGCTGGGCTCAGCTGTGTATACTGTTCCCTGCACATCACAAGGACATTTGTTCTTATAAGAGGAGTGGAACAGAACATGAATCATGGCTGGGACAAGCCGGGAGCGAATATCCCTGAGTTCTTCTCGTTGCGGCTACTTTTTATACTTCATAGTCCTGTAAAGCGTGTTCTCTAAAAATGAAAGGCCACATTAAAAAAGGAAAGGAGCATTCTCTTCTCCCGCCTCGCTCATCCCCTCCACCCCTCATTTGCAGCCTTTAGGTCAGATGGCGGTTCTATCACTCAGGGGTGACTGGATCGTGTAATCCAAATGGCGATGTTTAGCCAAGCTGAGGGTTGCCCTGAGTTGCTGGGAACTTGGGAGGTCACATGCTTTTGTGCAAGTGGCTGAAAGTACTTTACAGAAATAGGAACTGCGTCTCCGTGATCTCATGCAATAGTTCTTCCTCCCAGCTTCCCATTAGGAGTAAGAACCACGGGAGATTTGAAAAGATATCAGTGCCCGGGGCCCACTCCAGACCAAGTGGTGCAAATCTTTAGGGATTGGCTTAGGTTTCTGGAATTTCTTAAAATCTTCCCAGGCGTTTCTGAACCACAAAGGTGCCAAGAGCTTGGGGTTCAACATCAG